CTTATAGGATATACTCTCCAAGATAAAGACAAGAACGAACCACATTATAGGCAATAAGCAGCGTGAACCGCAGTTTCTGCCTCGTGTATATTAAGTACTTGACATGATTCAGCCACGTAATAAACTTTGCGTATAATATTGATGTATATACAGGGTGGAAAAAAACGGAAGAAGATACTCGACGTGGCTTACTCACGAAACACGAAAAGGAGGCCAACGACGGGCTGACATCGACTCCAGGATGACGAGTGACGACCAACGAGCATCCTTTTATTCGTCTCTTCCTTCCCCTCTTCCTATGTAAAACACCTAGGACTTCTGGTGATGTCCCGCAGGATCCGGGAGATCTTTTCGTTGTCGTCGTCGCTCAGGCAACACCCACTTTCTCCTCTGGCCTCGTAACCTCGGATGTTACCACTTTCCTTCCGTCTCGCCGCCGCTCGCAGGGGCGCAGCGATATCCTTCGTCGTCCTCGTCGTCGTCGTCGACCACCACCACAACCACTTCCACCATGAACCACCGCCGCCACCGCTGTCGCCGTCGTGGTAGCTGTCACAGCCACAACAAGCAACTGACGGCAGTAGTAGTGGACGCCTGAGATGTACTGTCAGACAGTTTCGCACCCCTTGGGTGTCACGTGAGCTTTCCGTAATTTCTCTTTCTCTCTCTCTCTTTCTTTCCCTCAATCCCGCTTCCGCCCTAGTATCCCCCTCTCCCTTTCGTCGGGTGCGAGCTATCGACTCACCCCCGTTGGTAATTAATCGCAGCTCGTCGCGCCGGGTCTCGCATCATGTCACGATCGTCGGACAGGATCATCTTGCTCTCGCGCGTCCTCACATCGCGACGTCGTTTGCGTGCCGTCGCGCGCAAAAACGGAGCTGTACGACGAACGTTGCAGAAGGAATAACGGAGGAGCGACACGCTCGTTCCGTCGCGGCCGTCGCAGTGGCCGGTGTGGCTGCGCGATCAGCGCGATACCCTTGCTACTTCGCCAACGGAGCCAGCCTCCCTCCACTGTCCCCTACCATCCTGCCCTTTTCTCTTCACCTCTCCCTGCCCCACGCCGATTAGTTGCTGTCGTTGCTGACTGTCCTAGGGAGAGTGTACGCGTGATCGTAGCACGCGTGAACCTCGGCATGCGCCCTAGCTCGAACACGCGCCGTGAAAGCTTCACGAGTCTTGAACACCCTTGGCGTCATCTGGGGTTGCGCGAACACACTAGGGGTGGCTGTCTGCGTCAGTGCAATGCAATTCTAAAACTTATCCTCTTCTCTTTCTCTTTCTCGAAGTGATATATGAGTATACGAAGAGATATCGTGGTGTAGAATTAAAAGTCTGAAAAAAATATTGTTAAACGTGTTGTTAGGGGTATATTTTTTTCTGAATTTAGTAGTTTCAAATTCTACTCTTTGAAACTGAGAGAATTATTTCAAGTCCTTTAAAGCCCTTCTTTCGCGAATAAAAAATAAGGTTTTAGGGTAACATAGCAACTAAAGTAATAGTAGTAATTAAAACAACTAAATTTTATTTACTATACAATGAAGGAACTTAAATTTAATTCGTAAATATCACCCTCACAATGCATTCGATTCGATTCGTTCTCGAATCATTGAATTGTCAAAGATTCGATTCGATTCGATTCGATTCGACTTCACAAATGCCTGATTTGTTTCTACTTTTCTTTGATATGTTCATGGTTTTTTAGTGTTTCGTATTTTTTCCATAAAAAAGAGTCGACAATACAAAGTTAACACATTAATTATATTATTTCAGTTTTTTGTGTATAAAAAATGCGGAAATTTCTTTTTCATTTTTAACTATAGAACTATGAAAAGTGGTATTAAAACTATGATTGTTTTCGTTATATCAATAAAATGATGTGCTAACTTCACAGATCATTTCCTTCGAAAATTTTTCTTTCAATTATAATAGCTGCGTTCAGCAGAATGTTTATTTTGCGACTGTTGGAAATTTTTTTCGTGCTGATTGAATTATATTCTTATATTTTTAAATTTAAAAGTTATAAAATAAACGTTCTGCTGTATGTCAATAAGGATTCGTTATAATGTTGCGACGTAGTCGCCTACTTAATTAGTGCTTTTTTATAAGAACGTTTTCATGCCTTACATTTCTTGCACGTACCCTCTATAGATAGAGAAGAGATTTTCATAGCAAAGATATCATAAGATTCTCAGTGGTTTGCTATTGTCTTCTGAAAGATGGCGATCAAGTCTGATATGTGTGTCCTGTGGATTTGAACCTTAATCTTTGTCACAAAGAGCACAGCCACTCAAGTCTTTACTCCACTTTACTCTACGATCGCCACAAAACTTGTTCAAAAATTTTATTTATCTTCCATAAGTTATATAAAATGACTTTTCTACATGAAACCATTCTTGTTGTGGCATTAAGCGAATGTGTTAGTATCAATGAAAATAGAGAAGAATTAGCATCTGAGTCGTGTTTGCAATATTTGAATACAAAAATATAAAGCAAATCCTGAGGTATAAAAAAATCTGTAAAATATATTATAGCACATTTCATTAATATAAAAAAATAATTACAATTTTAGTACCATTTTTCATTCAGTTCTATAATTCTGCATTAAAAAAATAAAAAATTTTTGCATTTTTATATAAAAAAACCAGAAATGAAAAAATGTGTTAATTTCTATATTTTTTAATTCTCTAAGGCTTGTATTCGGAGCGTGACTTTATCGATAAATATAAAAACTGTGTATTCCACAGCAACAGTTTTTGATAAGTTGAAATTCTTATTCTCTGTTCTTTATTTCTTATTCCTTTGATTGTGCGCTGCAGCCTCTTTCCGATCAGAAATATTCACGAACAATAGCTACATAGTTTATGTTTACATTTTTTATGTATATACATAGAGGCCGCGCTATAAAAGACAGGGATCGTCTGAAACGCAAACATATCCATTCTCTCAGACTTCTTTCAGCTGATAAAACAATTTTAAATTAATCGATCGATTTATCCACATACAATTAATTACCCATACAGCACAGAACGTGCAGCAATATCGTTGCAATAACGCTGCAATATTGCTGCAACATGCAATTTTGCTGCAATGTTGCAACATTGTTGCTGCAACTTTTGTGCTGTAGGAGTATACAGGGTGTTTCCAAATTAAATGGCAAAACTTCGGGAGCGTGTAGAGGAGTAAAAAACTAAGAAAAAAAGTCCTATAGACATATGCTCGTTTTTGCTCCGTTTCAGAGAAATCGAAAAAAAATGTTTACATTTCTTGCCATATCTAGCACCGACATATTTGATTACATTTTCCACTTTCTGTTATGAATTTGTCAGTCGCTCTTTGAAAGCCTTTAACAGTAGATGAATTTTGTCTTTTGCAATATGCCGCGTACGTATTCTAATAGTGAATATGCTGATATGGTTTTTGTATACGGTTTCTGCAACGGTAATGCTTTAAAGGCGGTGCGAGAATATGCACGACGATTTCCAAACAGAAGAGTGCCAAACCGAAGAGTGTTTATGTTGACATTTAATAGATTGCGAGAGACTGGAACATTTTCAATTCGACAAGAAAACAACCGATTTCAAGCAGCGTTACGAAGAGATTTGCAGGCAGGGAATCGTATTTTACAACATTTTGACAATCATCCTGAGACC